ATGCCTGGTCATCCACTCTAGATATTTTGATTCTGAGGTCTGTAATGGCAAATCCTCAGCTATTCCAAGTCCGTGAAGCCTTCTCTGGAGGTTTCTCCTACTACTGTTAATTTACCTGACAACTTTTAGCCAAAATGTTATTTTTTACTGACTAAGTTTCTCATCATGTCCTAAACCTATATTTATTGAAAAATGGAGACCATGCCCCCTGAAGGTTTTGTCATATTTTTCTGACTCTCCCCCCTTGTGCATCATAGCCAGCTGGACATGCATTTCGGTTCAAATTCTGGCTTTGAAACGTCCTGGCTGTATGACCTTGACAAGTTACCTCTATTTTGTTGACTTTTGTTTATTGAGCACCTACTATGGGCCAGGCATGGGTCTACATGCTGGGGTTACAGCAGTGAATGAAACAGCAAGAAACCACCCTGCTATTCTTATGGAGGTGGCATTCAAGGGAGAGGGGGTGAGAAACGAAGTACTTGTTGGGGTGGTGAGTGCTGAGGGGGGCAGAGAACAAGGTCAGAGGGTGGAGCGGAGGGGAGCAAGCCATGCAGATAGCAGGGCAGAGCATCCTGTTGGGAGAGGAGACGGCAGTGCAAAGGCCCCAGAGGTATGTTCGTGGAACAGCAAAGAGGCCAGTGCGGTCAAGTGGAGAGAGGGAGGAAGAGAGTGGAGTAAAGCGATGTCAGAGACGGAACCAGAGCCAGCTCACACTCAAGAACGTTGACTTCAATTCTAAATAAAAGGCAGAGCTACTGCAGGGTTTTGAGCAGAGCGTCATGTGGTCTGACAGGTTATAGCAGGATCACTCAGAGCGTTGGCTTAAAAATAAAAGCCCGAAGGGAGTAGAAGTGGGAGCAGGAGCACCGAGACGGGGAGGTGGCTGGGATCCTGCCTGCGGCCTGGGAGGTGTCGGAAGTGCGTGAACTCTGGGTGTGTTTTGATTGTGGAAGAAGCAACAGGATTCGCTAAGAGTAGGGACTGGGGTGTGAAAGAAAGAAGAGCCTAGTTCACGATGTGTGTGCCGGGGTTGGCCCGTGCTGGCTTGTGAGAGCCGATGGTTAAGGGTCTGGCCATCGGCTAGCCTGTGGACATTATGCTGGAGCTTGAGACTGGCCATGGCAGGAGCATTTATACCGTGGGAATGGGCGAATACTGCTATTCGGGGCGTGGCCGGGAATGTGGGCAGTTTTTCTGTTTCTTTGCTGTTTTGCCTGAGCAGGTAGGGGAATGGATTCCTCCCTATGAGATGGGAAAGATGGGGTGAAACAGGCACAGGGAAGAAATCTGGAGTTGGGCTTTGAACATGTCTCCTTTGAGATGCCGCTTAGACATCCAGGTGGCGAGGAAGCAAGAGGATAGATGTTAAACAGAACAGCTTCATCTACTTCACAGGATTCTTCCAAGGAGCTAGCAATACAATTTATTTTTTACTTATAAAAAGGAAAGATGGGGCCGGGTGCAGTGGCTCATGCCTGTAATCCCAGCACTTTGGGGGGACCAAGGCAAGAGTATTGATTGAGTCCACGAGTTCAAGACCAGCCTGGGCAACATAACAAGACTTTGTCTCTGCAAAAAAAAAAAAAAAAAAAAAATTAGCCAGGCATGATGGTGTGTGACTATAGGCCCAGCTACTCGAGAGGCTGAGGAGGAAGGATCGCCTGAGCTCAGGAGGTGGAGGCTGTGGTGAGCTGTGATTGCGCCACTACACTCCAGCCTGGGTTGACAGAGTGAGACCCCGACTCAAAAAAAAAGCAAAAGCTAAAGTATAAACACCTTGCAAATATAAGTGCTCAATGTAAATTTCTTCATCCCTGCAAATGAAAGGACGTTGATCGCTACTAGAGCCAGGGTCGCAAACTGGTGGCGCTCAGTTTAGATCCAACCTGTAGACTCTTTTTGGGGGGGGGGGCACATTATTTTAAAAAATTGAATCTAAGTGATCTCCGGTGAGCATTTGCTTCCCAGTTCATAGCAGGCACCCCGACTCCGTGTTAGCTCACACCATGCCGATTCCCATGTTGATGTTGCCTGGTCCTTTTTGGGTTTGAGTCTGCATCTACTCTTGGTTCGAGGCAGACTACCATGTTGGAGAGGAGGAATCTGAGGCCCAGGGAGGCCAGGAGATGGTCCAGGGTTGCTGAGGGCATGGAGTGTCAGGGCGCGGAGGGAGGCAGCTGCGGGTCCCCTCTCCCCATCATCGCTTGCATGTGATTGCCAAAGCGAGCAGAAAAGAGGACGTCTGTCCACAGGGGTGACTTCCTGATGCCTAACTTTGGGGAAGCTTTAATTGCTCGAGGTGCCCAGATCTGCCGCCCACACGTGTGCATGCTGAGTGGTGGAGATAAAACCCAATCTGGTGTCAAGCTGAAGGTTAATTGAATATCTGATGCCCAGAGATGATGAGAGCAGGATTCCCCCTTTCCCGTTTTCTCCTCCACACCTCTGGCTTTATTTAAGCAAAACCACCACCAGAGAGGCTCCCTGCAAGGGAGGCAAGGGAGGCAAGGAAGGCTGGGCCATTGGCAGAAGAGAGGGGGGATCAGATAACGTCTTGGGCTTGGGGCTGGGGATTCTTCTGCCAGAGTAGCCCAGCACGCAGGGGCTGGTTCTACCTTCTCTTGTCTGAAGACTGAGGTGCTTTGCCCAGGAACTTCTGGGGAGGGGTTTATACACGGGGGCCACATGTGTGCATCCATCGTGAGGGCAAGGGGGAGACGCAGAAGGCTTCCTCAAGGACATGGCTTGAGAGTGGGGGTTTCTAGTTGAAGTTTCAGCTACGAAGACCCCAGGGCCTTTCCTCTGACTCTTTCCTTTTGCAATCCCCCTCCTCCACCGACCTTCATACTCCAGCTGCGTTAAACTTCCTTCATATCATGAAGTGGGCCACACACTCTCATTCCCAAGCCTTAGATGCTGTGCTTGCCCTCTGGGACACTTCTTTTTCCCACATCACCTACCTATCTTCTCTTTCTTCCTCGGGTAGAAGTCACTTCCTCCTGGAAGCCCCCCGATTTCATTCAGGTGCCCTCAACTGCCTGTCCTCCCCATCTTGCTCCTTTCATACTGCCTATAGTTTCTTTCCTTCCTGCTTCCTCCCCTTGCTCCCTCCCTCCCTATTGATTTATTTATTTCAGTCAGGGTCTCACTCTGTTGGCCAGGTTGGAATGCAGTGGCACACTCATGGCCCACCACAGCCTCAAACCCTTGGGCTCAAGCACTTCTCCCACCTTAGCTTCCTGAGTGGCTGGGACTACAGGCATGCGCTACTACACTCAGCTAATTTTTAATTTTTGTGTGTGTGGATATGAGGTCTCCCTGTGCTGCCTAGGCTGGTCTCTAACACCTGGGCCCAAGTGATCCTCCCACCTTGGCCTCCCAAAATGCTGGGATTACAGGCATGAGCCACCACTCCTGGCCTATAGTTTCTTGTCAGCCTCGCCCACCAGAGGCTGGAGGCTGATCTGCTTTCCCCACAGCTGTACCTGGCCTGGTGCTGGCATGCAGTAGGTGCACAGTGACGTTTTCCTTAAAGTCAAGAGAGACCATTCACTGCGTCCTTTTCCAATATAAGTTTCAGCCCCCCAAGGTACTACTCTCGGAACCCTTCCAGCCCCTAACACTGCATGGCTCATGGTGGACACTCGAAAGGCATGCCTTGAATGAATGGATGGATGAGCACCTGATTCCAGACTGTGGAGTTCAGAGAGGAGGGAACGGAGAACGAGGAAGCCCTCTGATTGAGGAGTGAGTGGCAGGGGCAGTGGGCTAGGGGCATGGAACATCCACCCCCAGCAGCCACAGAACACGGGTGCTCCAAGACCCCAGGACAGAGGAGGAAAGTAAGGCCCAGAGACAAGCCTGCAGTCACACCGCCAGAAGGGAAGGTGTGGGATTCTCCTGCGGGTTGACCTGGCCCCGGGTCCTCCAGGGGTAACTGCTCAAGCTCCAGGAGTCTTTGACTCTGCAGGAGTAGGAAGTGCCTCTAAGGATACTCCTGCCTCCGATAACAGCCTCAAAAGCCAGTCACTGACCCTTCACAAGAATCTTCCCTCTGCCTCACAAGACCCCTCTGAGGAGCCAGGCAGCCCCAGGCGCTGTTCGCCAGCCTGCTGGGTCTTGGCACGGCCCCTGCCCGCCCCCATCCCCTATCAGCCAACTGGGTCTGCGGAGAGTCTCTTTCTTCCACTTTCTCCAGACACCACGGTCTGTCTCTGCCCCCTTCGCAGCAGCCCAGTCTCGTGTAGGGCAGTGGAAAGAGCGTGGCAGGGAAGCCACAGAAGGCTGGGTTTCAGCTCTGATTGGGCGGGGTGGCCGCCCTGTGCCTCGGCTGGCTTATCCAGGCAGTGGGGACAATGGCCTTCCAGGCAGGGCTCTCTGTGAGGATTACCCAAGATGCATGTGCTTAGTAGAGCAATCATGGTTGCATCTGGTGCAGAGTGGGTGCTTTCCAGTGTCCCACACCTGGGGAGTTAGGGGGAACATTCTGGATGGAGCACCTACTGGTGACCCCCACCCCCCAAGTACAGGAAACACTCACACAGCCAGGTAAGTCCGTTCCTTAAAACACTCAGCATTCAGCAATCATTTCCTGAGCATCTACTAGGTGTAAGGCTCTGTGTTAGACTCTGGAAGCAGAGGTAATTTGGATCTAGGGGAACTTCTGGTCTAGTTGAGGAAGACAAACAGAAAAATAAACCCTGTGGTATGGTGAGTATGGGCTAGTGTTTTCTTCTTGGCCACACTGGCCTTTCAGTTCTTTGGAAATAATCCGCTTGCTCTTGCCACAGGGCCTTTGCACATTCTAGGGTTTTTTTTGGATGCATTGCTCTAATTCATTCTTTAGTTCTGAGCTCTAGTGTCAGATCCTCAGGGAAGGCCCTGGCACGTAGTACATGCTTCATTAATACTGGCGGAAAGAAAAAAACAAGAGCAGTTTCTTCCCAAGCCTCCCCAATGTGGCTAAATTGGGGGATTCCCCCCATGAAAACACTCACAACTGGATGTCTAGGAAGATCCGTTTCTCTTCCCCCACATGGATCTTCCAGATACAATCTTCACCTTCCACATAGGGCTCTGGCCAGTTTGGGGACAGCACCACCCCGGCCACCGCAGAGAGCTCCCCACCACACATGGCTGTAAAAGACAGACAGACAGACACACTTTATCTGTTAGGAAGCCAGTATGACACAGTGGCTCGGTGTGTGGGCGATGAAGTCAGATAGCCGTGAGTCCTTGGGTGCTGTGGGCACGTGTCCACACCTTGGGCAGCTGGCATGCATGCATGGAATGATTACGTGAGGGTTGGCCACCTGCCTGCCTGCTCTTAGCTGAGGGTGTGATCGTGACTTCAAGACCAAGGACAGAGCCCAGGGGTCGGAGGGAATCCTCAGCGGCTCTACTGGGTGAGCAGTGGCCGAGAGACCGTCCTCTCCTGTCAAACAGTCCCGGCTTTCAGCTTGACGCTGCCACCCACAAGCTCTAGGACAAGTGTGTGACTTCCCGGGGCCCCCCTCCCTGTCTCTATACATGAGGGCAATGCCCCCGCTGACCTGGCTGGGCTATGTGGAGGCTTGATCGAGTTCATGAATGTCAACCATGCAGCACAGTGCCTGGCACTTGGTAGACCCTCGGTAATTTGGATGGCGTTACTGGGTCAGGCTCCAGCCCTGAGTTGGAAGCGGAAGTCTGGCTGCGGCTGGTGGCCTTTAAATTCTTTTTTGTGTTTACCGCGTTGGGAAGTTCTCAACATGGCAGCGACTACAGCACCAATAAATTCCGCTCTGTTAAACCAGCACATTTAATATAGGGATCAATCCCTCACCATGGCAAGGCCACAGTTTCATGCCAACCACCATCCAGGCAGTGACTGCCAGGGGAGAGGGCATCCTTCGTGACTCCACATGCCACCAGGAGATCCCAGCCTGGGGTAGCTTGGAGGCCTTGAATGTGGGGAAACGGGCAGGGCAGGCCACCAGGGTCCTGTGAAGATGAGGGTTCTATGCAGCCAGCACTGTCTGGGGTGGTGGTGGCGGGCCTGCTCAGAGCACTGGTCTGAGTTCTGTTACTGTCCCTCCAGTTCCCCTCAGTGTGTTCTTAGGCATGCCACTTCACAGCATTGGTTTCCTCATCTGTAAATGGGGCTAATAACATCTACTTTATAAGGTTGTGGTGAGGATGAAACTAGCTAATGCACATACAGCTCCTGGCAGAGTGCCTGTGACATACTTATCACACACCGATGAACAACTATTATCATCATGATTTTTAATGACATTCAGGGCTGCCATGTGCTATCAGGTGCTATCCCTCAAGCATGCATAGCAGAGGGAGTATGTAGGAGCTGAAAGCCATGCAGTGATCAGCTCACCAAGCTGTGCAACCTTGGGGCCTATGCCTGGAGGAAGGGGCACCTTTAAAAATGGATCCATTTTGCTCAAGACCTGAAGCAACACTGACCCAAAGGGTAGTGAACCCTGGAAAGGGTTTTGACACAAAAATTGGCATGCACACTGGGAACGTGCCTCTAAGCTGGGGCCTTGGTATTCTCAGCTGAAGGGTGGAGGTCCCTGGGATGCCCTGGGAGGAGTACAGGGGGCCCACTCACCTCTGCACAGGGGCTCCGTGTCATTCCAGTAGGGGTCCCGCACATTGATGCACTCAATGATGGCCGGTCCCTGCTCCAGAGAGTGGCCGGGGTCGCAGGTGAACTCCACGATGGTCCCGATGTTGTAGGTGGGGTCGGATGTGGTGAAGTTCCCGTTCTGGATGTAGGGCTCATAGCAGTGGCCTTTCTCGAAGGCTGGGATGGGGAACAAAGAGGAGCAGGCGAGTCAGGGCCACCGCTGGAGGACAGGTCCCCTCCTGATGCTTAGGAAAGCCCCGCCAGAGTGAGCACCAGACCGCATGTCCTGCTTCTGGCTGACCCGCCGAGGACCCTTGGGCCTTGCACTGGGCTCTTGAAGCCTCATACTTCTCGCCTCTAAAATGGGAACAAGAGCCCCTGCCTTCCCAGCCCTGCAGAACTGTTGTGCTTCGATTCCTTTCCATATTCCATGTGCGTCCTTCCCACATCCCATAACCACAGAGTCCTGATTTCTGCTACTGGACACGGTCAGTGTGCCTATGATCAGCGCCAGCTGGTCTTGGGGAAGCTGCAGCAGCATGTCTCTAATGCACATGACCTATTCGGAGCAGCCTTTCGTAAAGGGCCAGGGTCTGAGCAGTGCTTCTTGGAGGGGAAAGTGGCTCGATTCTAAGAGAGCTCACTGGGTGGAGTAGGACAGAGCTTATGACAGAAGTGGTCTCCTTGGGCAAGTCACCCAAGTTCCCCAAACCTCAGTTTCCTCATCTAACATTGGAAATAATAACGGCTCTAACGCTTCTCTGTGATGAGGATCAAACAGACAGTGCATGCAAGGCACAGGGCACGCGGCAAGCGCTCAGGAAATGGTAGGCAGTGTCACTCATGACACCAGGAGTCTTTGGACATCTTTATGGCCTCTGGGTCTCCCCCGCCCTTAGCAGCCCAGATTTCTACCTCCCAGGACCCAGCCCCGGCGTCCCCATGCTTTCCCTGCCCCCCGGCTACCACCCTCAGGAGGGACCTTCACCTTCAAATCGAATGTTGAAGGTGGAGGCCACCCGGGCCTGCTCAGACGTGAACTCGATGCGGATGGTGCTGCCTTCACTCAGAAGGCCCTCGAAGGGGACGCTCTCGGCTCGGCGGGAGTCGTAGAGAAGAGCTGACCTGTTGGTCTGTCCACTGTGGACCGTCATCCTGGCAGTGGAAGAGTGGGGGAGGGCACTGACCGATCTCTGGGGGTCGCCAGCACAGCAGAGGGGTGCTGTGACCGCCACTTCTGGAGTCTCATTGCCGGATCCGAAGCCTGACCCAGCCTCTAACTTGCCCACACCAGCATCACCTCATCAGACCTCTTTCGTCTTCTGTAGCATGGGACTTAAAGCTCATTCTGGGTTCCTTGTGGATTTATTCTTTTTTTTAAAAGTCATTTATAAATTGTATGTGTCAGCATCTAGACACTAACATCGATTTCCACTTTTCAGTAAACCCTCTCAGTCCTTCATTCAACATAACTCTTTGTCCTTCTTTTTTTAATTTTGATTTTATTTTAAAGATATGGGGTACAATTCAGGATTAGGTATACAAATGTTGATCATGCAGGTTTCCTTGTTGATAAGGTATGCCCCTCCCTCCCCCAGCAATTTCACTCAACTGCCAATCCCATCCCTCCTCCTGTGGCAGTTTCCCACTACTGCCGGTCCCTTTCTTATAGTATTATAAGTGTTCTAGGTCCACTTATGAGTGAGAACATACGGTACTCTGTTCTTTGTTTCTGTGATAGATCACTGAGTATGATAGCCTCTAAATCCATCCAAGTTGCTACAAAATCCATATGTTTGTTCTTCTTTATGGCTGCATAATATTCCATTGTGTATATGTACCACATATAAAAAATCTAGTCCAGCTTTAATGGGCAGCATGGTTGGCTCCATGTTTTTGCTATTGTGAATAGAGCTGCAACAAACATATGTGTGCAGATATCTTTTTTGTAGAATGATTTGAGTTCCTTTGGGTATATTTCCAATAGGGGAATTGCTGGGTCATATGGAAGGTCAATTTCTAGTTCTTTCAGAAATTGCTTTGGATTTATTCTAAGCTTGGAGGGAAAGTGTCATGTACGATGTCATAAACCAATGATCAGAGGTTGATGATGATTATTCATTGAGAAGCTGGAATTCATGGCCTGCTATCTTTGCTCAAAAAGTGGCATGCATAAAGTCAGGCAGACCTGAGTTCAAGTCCCGACTCCACACCTTAGGTTGTATGACCTTAGACAATAACAGGCCACCTTTCTGAGCCCCTGTTTTCTCATCTGTATAAAATGGGTAGAATCAGACTTAAACCACTGTGTGGAGCTTAGAGACCATGAGTGCATAGTGCCCAGGCGAGTAGGTCTGTAAGTAATGTGTATCAAGCATTTGACCCTTGCCAGGCTCTGTCTCTGATCCTCATTTCGTTAGAGCACTGTGGGGGAGTCAGGAGTCCTGACTTCCTATTCCCAATATCACACCAACTGAGTTTACATAAGGCTCATCTTTGGTCCTCAATTTCCCCAGCTGTGAAAGGAGAGATCAGAAAGTCTTTCTGCCCTATCTTACAGGTAGGTTTTAAGAATATTTCAAAATAAAGTGCCCTGAAAAATAAAAATGTGTTAGATAAAATGTTGGATATTTGTGTGTGTGTGTGTGTGTGTGTGTGTGTGTGTGTGTGTGTGTGTGTGTGTGTATGTGTGTTTGAGTTGGGATCTCACTCTGTTGCTCAGGCTGGAGTGCAGTGGCATGATCACAGTTACCACAGCCTCAATGTTGGGCTCAGGTGATCCTTCCTTCTCAGCCTTCCAAGTAGCCGGGACTAAAAGTGCATGCCACCATACCTGGCTGATTTTTTTGATTTATTGTAGAGACTAGGTCTTGCCAAGTTGTCCAGGCTAGTCTCGAATTCCTGGGCTCAAGCAGTCCTCTCACCTTGGCCTCCTAAAGTGCTGGGATTACAGGTGTGAGCCACTGCACCCAGCCCAATATTTATTTTTATTGCAATTAAAACCATATGATACTTGACTCCTTGCTAGTCTTGGTATTTTTAAGGAAATTATACAAAAGTGGTGAAGAAAACAGTTCACAAATTGGATGTTTCTTTTATGGAGTCACAAACATGCATTTCTAATTCTTTGAGTTTTTTTTACTGTGACTCATAAAAATGGTTTATTTTGTGTTGCCCAGATGCATTTCTAATGTCACCAAGACACATAAATGCTGGAGCCACAGTTTGTTTATTTTGTGTCCAGTGTGACTGAGATGAGGAGGAGGCTGTGTGGAAGGCCGGGGGCCAGCCCCGGAGGGAGGAGGGGCATTGCCACCATCTTAGAATCCCTGTGACTCTGTGTGCCAGGGCACCTCTTTCCAAAAACAGAAAGCTTTGACCATGAGGGTCACTCTGGAGGAAAACCCCAAGATCTAAAAACCTCTGTAGCCTATGAATCTTTAAAAAATTAGCAATTTCCTAGCTATGTTTTCTAGAATGCTTGCAATAGTAATACCTTTTATCTCAAACCCTTATATAGTCTATGGTCAAATGGATTTGGAACATTCTGAGTTAAACAAAAATTACTCTTTTTTTCCCAGCAGGACTTGTCAGTGTCTTTGTTGACTAATGAATATTAGGACCTTCCAAGGTAGAGATAGGGTGGGCAGACTGTATTTCCCAAACATATTTGACCAGACAGCCCACCCTTTATGTGGCACATTATGGGACTGTAATTTAGAAAGACTTCATTTAAAGGAAAATTATCTTACATTTTTTCTTTATGTCCCTCCTCTGCTAAAAATCCATCCATGGCTTTCTATCGTCTAGAGCAAGGGTCCCCAACCTCTGGTCTGCAGACGGGTGCTAGTCCATGATCTGTTAAGAACCTGGCCACACAGGAGGTGAGTAGCAGGTGAGCGGAGCTCCATCTCCTGTCAGATCATCAGGGGCATTAGGTTCTCATAGGAGCACCATCCCTGCTGTGACCTGCACATGTGCAGGATCTAGGTTGTGCTCCTTTTGAGAAGCTAATGCCTGATGTCCCTCTCTTCACCCTATAGACTCTATAGAAAAATGGTCTTCCACAAAACCGTTCCCTGATACCAAAAAGGTTGGGGAAGTAGCCCGACATTCAAAGCCCTTCAGGGCATGACCCAGCTTGCCTTCCCAGCTTCATTTCCTTGCGTTCATGGGAACCTGCATGGCTAATTCCCACACACATGCTAATTCTTTCCTTTACATCTTTGTCCCATCCCCCAATTCTCCAGGCTTGGAACACTCCTCCCACTGTATTTTTGGGTTCCATTATCCAATCGCTTTCCAAGGCTTAGCTCAAAGTCCTATTTCTTACCTAGCTCCGAGTTCCTGCAACTGACATTTGTGGTATTTTAGTCATTTTCCCCCTCAATAAAGTGCAAGGGATGGACACAATTAATTTTTCTTTTCTTCTTAGCACAAGGAATGTGCTCATCACTTTTTTGGTGTTGTCCTTTAGCCTCGATAAAAAACCACAGACTTCTTTCCCTATGGACACACTTGAGAAATTTTTTTTTTTTCCTGGTGCATGTCAACTCATACTTTTCGTAGATCTTTGCAGGGACCCAGAGAAACTACCAGTGACCAGTGCCAGCACTGAGCCCACCTGTCGGGACTCAAATAACTTTTAGGAAATACCCGTGCTGGTTAATTTTGTCCCCCTTCTCTGCTCCTTCTTGTTGTCTGGTATAAACTTAAGCTTGCTTCACCACTCAGAAGAAGCAGACCCGAGGTCTCAGATTAGGAGAGATCCTTCACCAAGTAGTCTCAGGCCTGGCTTCTCACTCAGAGTCTCCAGAAAACAGAGCTGGAAATCTGGTGTTCAAAGAGTTTCCCAGGTTATTCTGCTGCTATTAAAAAGCCACGTTTGGGTGCCCCTGTTTGATACCTTTCACTTTAAAGTAGATATTTATCGATATGAGTTGTTCCGAGTAAGTTGGACTACACAGAGAGATGTGAACTCAAGAGATGGGAAAATTATTCAATTGTCTGTCTTTTTTTTTCATAAGAGTAATATCCAACCTAAAGACGTAATAGTCTAGGGTCAAAGCATCAAAGAAAAACCGGCAAAAAGAAAAGAAAAGAAAAGAAAAGAAAACAGGCACTAGAATGGATCAGCAAGAAAAAAGCAAATAACCCCATTAAAATGTGGGCAAATGACATGAAGACATCTCTCAAAAAAAGATGTATTATTATACAAGTGGCCGATAAACACAGGAAAAAATGCTCAACATCACTTATCATCAGGGAAATGCAAATTAAAACCACAGTGAGATACCACATTACACCAGTCAGAATGCCATTACTAAAAAATAAAAAGACAGTCGATGCTGGCAGGAGCAGAGAAGAGGGAACACTTATATACTATTGGTGGGAGTGTAAGTTAGTACAACCTCTATGGAAAGTGGCATGGAGATTACTCAGAGAACTAAAAGTAGATCTACCATTTGATCCAGGAATCCCATGACTAGGTATCTACCCAAAGGAATAGAGATCGTTACACAAAAAAAGACACCTGCACTTGCATGCTCATCACAGCACAATTCACAATTGCAAAGATGTGGAGTTAACCCAAATGCCTATCAGCTGATCACTGGATAATGAAAATATGACATATATACTCCATGGAATGCTACACAGCCATAAAAAAGAATGAAATCATGTCCTTTGCAGCAACATGGATGGAGCTGGAGATCATCATCCTAAGTGAACTCAGACCAAACACCACATGTTCTTACTCATATGTGGAAGTTAGATGGTCGCAAAGATGGAACTAACAGACACTGGGGACACCAATAAGGAGGGAGGGAGAGAGAGGTTTAGGGTTCAGAAATCACCTATGGAGTACAATGTTCACTATCTAGGGAATGGGCCACCTGAGACCCAATCCCCACCACTACACATGTCCATGTCACAAATATGCATGTGTACCTCCTGAATCTAAAATTAAAAGAAGGATGTACAAGAGGAAGTATGAGGTGGTGTGATGTGGGGATTCTAGATTCCTTCCCTGCTCTTCCTCTCCCCTGCTGTGTGGCCCAGGGCAAGTCCCCTTCCCTCTGTGTGTCCTAGTTTCCTTCTCTGTAGAAGGAAGAGGCTGGAGTGATGGCCTCTAAGATCCTTGCCATCTGCCCAGCTCTTTCTTTCTTCCCTGACCACATTCTAACCTTCTTGGAGGGAACGGGGCTGGGCCTGGACCCTCAGGGGCTAACCTGTCCTTCTCATGCAGCGACAGCCTCTCAAAGTGCAGGTGCAACTTCTGGCCCTCGGGAGCTTCGATCGTCCAGACACAGAGCTGGCTCCCATTGGCACTTCCAGGATAACTTGGCGAGAGGACGCGGCCAATGGTGGCATTATGCACGGTCCCTCCACAAGGGGCTGGAAAGGTGCAGGAGAGCAGAGAGAGAGAGAGAGAGAGAGAGAGAGAGAGAGAGAGAGGAGGTGAGTGTTTCATTCTCCCCTGATCCCCACCCCTACCCCTCAGCTAGGATAAAACTCCAGAGACCTGGACTGGGAGACAGCAGGGCAGGGAGAGGAAGGCTTGGAAAGAACATGTCCCCCTAGGAGGGAACTGTCCTGTTTGACAGATCTCCTTCTATAGTTGGAGTCTATAGTTGGAGTCATCAACATGTGTGTTTCATGGTAGGGACAGTGCAATTTAAGGAATCTTCCATAGTGCTAGTTGTACCCTGGCCACCAAGAAAGACACAGATAGGCAGTTCGCAGAAGAAGAAATGCATTTCTAGTACTTAGTAAGCACTTTTAGTGCTTATTAATTCAGCCTCGCTAATAACAAAAGAATGCAAGAATAATAAAAGAAATGCAAAGCTCAACCACATTCTACTTTCATCCACCTAATTGGCTAAGAAATAAAATCTGGAGAAAGTAAAGGTGATGGAAAATGCTCACCCTCACTCATGACTGGTTAGAATGTAAACTCTCATGACCCTTCGGGAGGGCAATTTTGTAAAAGGTCTAGAAAGTGTGTCTAAACACGTTGACCTGGTAATTACAGTTCAACGTAATTAGCCTAAGGAAAGATTTAGCAATTTCCAGGAATGAGAATATTCACTGCTACTTTGTTGCTAAGAATGGAAAATAAAAAACAACATGATTGGTGGCAGACTGCATATACGATGGTGGTTCCATAAGATTATACCACCACATTTTCACTGCACCTTTTCTATGTTTGGATGTGTTTAGATACACAAATACCACTGTGTTACAATTGCCCACGGCATTCAGTATCGTTATGTGCTGTACAGGCTTGCATTCAGTATCGTTATGTGCTGTACAGGCTTGCAGCCTAGGAGAAACAGGTCATACCATACAGCCTAGGTGTGTAGTAGACCACGGCATCTAGGTGTGTATAAGTGCACTCTGTGAAGTTCACACAACCACAGACTTGCCTAATGACACATCTCTCAGAATGTATCCCCATCATTAAGTGATGTATAATTGTAAATACACTCCACCTATATAGTTTTCAACAGCTGTCTTCTCAAAGAATACTTGACAACATAGGAAAATGTTTGTCACTGAAAATGCTCACTGTTTTTTAAGTGAAAAAGCAAGTTAGAAAATGGTGTCCCATGCCTATTTTAATGAGCTATTTGCAAGGAGCAATTGAGACCATGAATATAAAAGTCATTATCTCCTATCTTCTACAGATTTGTATTTCTTAAAATATTTTTTAAACCAGAATCACAATAACCTAATAAAAATATTAAACAGTGATTTGTGCACTGGAAATAACTCTTCTCAGATTGCAAATAAGGAGATATTCTTTTTTTTTTTGAGTTGGAGTCTCACTCTGTCGCCCAGACTGGAGTGCAGTGGCCGCTCCCGGCCACCACAGCCTTGATCTGCTGGGCTCCGGCGATCCTTCTGCCCTTAGCCTTCCAAGTAGCCAGAATTACAGGCATGCGCTACCATGCCCGGCTGATTTTTTGATTTATTGTAGAGATGAGGTCTCGCTGTCCAGGCGGGTCTCGAACCCGCGGGCTCAGGCAATCCACTCACCTCAGCCTCCCAAAGGTGCGGGATTACAGGCTGAGCCACTGAGCCCGGCTAGGAGATATTCTTAGTCTTATTTTTTAAGGAGATATTTGACTCTTAGAAAACTGTTTTCTTATGTACTGTTCGGGAAAGCTATTCTGAATTTTCTAAGCCCAAGGAGAGCTGGTGGTGGTAGGAGCCTCAGAGCGTGGCCATTGTTCTGGGAGAGTATGAGACACACATCCAAGGGGCTATCCTTGGCAGGGGAAAGTCCCACATCACGACCTGGGTTTCAAGTCTTGGGAGATATTTCTGTCCTTTGGGGGCTTCAAAGAACCTTGAAAAATCTTTCTTCCTCAACCAAGGTCCATTGGCTTCCCTCCACTTTCAGAGAAATAGAAGGACAGAAAGCAAAAATGGGACAGATCATTTGAAATCATCTCACAGAGGCCTAATAAGTTCATAGGTTCCACAAGAGCTGGGACTCTCTTCTGTGTATTTGTTTTAACCATACCACTATGAAGCAGAAGAGCTTCTGGTGTGTAGTATATGTTCAGTAAATATGTATTGAATAAATAAAGGTATTTATTTATAAACTTTGCAAAATGCAAAATTTACTTATAAACGTATTCATTGTGCAAAAGAGGAAAAAGAAGTTCAGAGGTATTAAGCCACTTGCTCAAGGACACACAGCCAATAATTGGAGTAGAAGGGGCTCAGGATCAGACTGCTTCACTCCAGAATTTGTTACTGAAGCCACGAGTTCACTCTATTTCTTTTTTTTAATTTTTATTTTTGAGTTGGAGTTTCACACCATTGCCCAGGCTGTAGTGCAGTGGCACACTCACGGCCACCCAGTGGTGACCTGCTGGGCTCAGGCGATCCTTCCACCTCAGCCTTCCAAGTAGCTGAAACTACAGGCATGCACTACCATGCCCAGCTAATTTTTGATTTGTTATAGAGACGAGGTCTCGCCTAGTTTTCCGGACTGGTCTCAAACCCATGGACTCAGGCAATCCACTCACTTCGGCCACTCAAAGTGCTGGGATTACAGGCTGAGCCACCGAGCCCGCCCTCTACTTCTTATTTATGATAATATTTTTTCTATTCAGAACGTTATATGGAATGCAATGGGTGCTTTATAAAAAAAAATTTGTTAAATGAAAGAATGAATTTTTTTCCTTTTTGTACCTCCAGAACCAGCTCAAATATTGACACATAGCAGGTACTCATTAAATGTTTGTTGAATGACTGCATGACTGAATAAAACTTGCAGTTGGAGAGAATGGCGGATAACTCTCCTCTCTGCGCTGGACTCTGCTGTGACCTACAGCAAAGACGTTGCTAAGACTTGCCATACATCTTTCAGGACCACGGACAGAGTACCAGGTTCCTTTGCCAATACTGCTTTCTAGCCTACAGACAGTTTGTCCTGTCAAGTGAGTCAGCCCAGGATCAAAGCTTGCTTGTGCCAGTTATCTACGATAGAACTAGTCACTCAAGTGTTCTGACTCCCGAGTTTACCCCCTGTAAAATGGTGATGAAAATTCCAGGCCGGGCTCGGTGGCTCAGCCTGTAATCCCGCGCTTTGGGAGGCTGAGGTGAGTAGATTGCCTGAGCCCGTGGGTTCGAGACCTGCCTGGGCAACTTGGCAAGACCTCATCTCTACAATAAATCAAAAAATTAGCCGGGCATGGTAGCGCGTGCCTGTAATTCCGGCTACTTGGAAGGCTGAGGCGGAAGGATCGCCAGAGCCCAGCAGGTGGAGGCTGCGGTGGCTGGGAGCGGCCACTGCACTCCAGTCTGGGCGACAGAGTAAGACTCCAACTCAAAAAAAAAAAAAAGAAAAGAAAGTTCCACCTGCCTTATAAGACTATAGTGGGAAATCAGGGCAAAGGTGGGTTCAGCAAGCTTGCTCCCTGGCACAGAATAGGAGCTCAAGACACAGCCAGCACATTGCCCCACAGCCGAGGAGCTGGAGATGGGAACACTGGCCCTGGTGGGGGGCGCAGGCCATCTGTACTCCCGAGCTGCTGATCATTTTCTGTCTTTCTGCTCCCCTTCCTTGCCTTATTAAGCCGGCTGATGGCTCTTTTTGGCTTTAATTTGCCAGCCACGGTTCCCCATCAATCTTACTTAGCACAAATTGAGGCTTAATTCCTCTCTGATTTCACACACAGATAAAAATTAACATGACAGAGGCATGGAGACCAACTGCCCTATGGTTTGGATTTTCATCTTTGTTAAAAAGAAAAATATTTAAAGGGCCTTGGGAGAACAATACTCTAATTGATTGTATATTGTATAGATGTAATTTATATGTTTTGGAACTTATTATCTTCAGCTCTCATTTAAATTCATTTTTGAATTCCACTTGGCTATGACCACCTGGAGGGTGGGGATTACGTTTTATTATTTCTGGTATTCTTTTTGTACATGACTCCTAGCTTGGCATGCGGTAGGTGCTCAATTAATATGGGCAGTCTATATTCTCCCAACTATCATCAGGAGTTTTGAGAATTTGAAGGAGTTTTTGCTCTCTTGATAGCTGAACGTGGCCAAGGATGTGCCCACTGGTGCAGAGACAGTATAGTACACTTCAGGGCTTCTCAAACTATAATGTGTACACAAATCACCCAGGAGCCATGTTAAAATGAAAATTGTCATTCAGCAGGTCTTGCATGGGACTCAGGATTGCACATTTCTTTTTTTTTGAGTTGGAGTCTCACTCTGTCACCCAGGCTGGAGGGCAGTGGTACACTCCCGGCCACCGCAGCTTCGACCTGCTGGGCTCCGGCGATCCTTCTGCCTCAGCCTTCCGAGTAGCTGGAACTACAGGCGCATGCTACCACGCCCGGCTAGTTTTTGATTTGTTGTAGAGATGAGGTCTCGCCAAGTTGCCCAGGCGGGTCTCGAACCCGCGGGCTCAGGCAATCCACTCACCTCAGCCTCCCAAGGCGCGGGATTACAGGCTGAGCCACCGAGCCCAGCTAGGATTGCACATTTCTAATCATCTTGCCAGTCTGAGAACCACACTTTGAGTAGTAAAGGTCTAAAAGAAAGACTCAGGAGAGAAGGGTTCTAGACTGAGTTCAGCCACTTCCAGCATGTTCCTTCCTCTCTAATCTTCATTCTCTTTGTCTGTGAAGTGGTAATCCTTTCTCCCTGAATTCAAGTGAAAAGGCAAATGTTGTCTTAACTGATTTCCACAGATCCACTCTGACCACCCACAACATTTTGTTTGCCAAATAGAAGCCAGAGTGATCACCTTATCACCAGAGTGATCATCTTCTCTACTGCGTCATTCTTCCCTGGTACTTAACACGACCTGTCACCACCATGTTTTCTCCCTAGTTTGCTCATTTGCACAATTCATCATCTCCTGGACTAGAAAATTTTGCAGATGTCTTCTCCTAGTCTATGCATCTTCTCATGACCTAAAAATCTTGGGCAGCACAGTTGCCGGCCACTGCCCCAGTCTTATCCTGCCATTTGCTCTGCAGTTTAGCCAGACAGGTTCTTTTTTACTTTCACAAACTCATCTAATTCCTTTCCACTCCTGAATCTTTGCATATGCTGGTTCATCTGCCTGGAACAATTTTTATTTTCCATTCTCCACCTTCAGTCTAATTATATTTCTTACTCAGTTTCTAAATCTTGCATTAAGTCTTGTCATTAAGTAATCCTTCTCTGATCCCCTCACCCATTGCTGCCCTCCCACCAGGCGAAGTCCTCTTCCACCTATTCTGGCATATTTTTTCTCTACTGTGTCATTCTTTCCTGTGAATTTCTTTCCTGGTACTTAACACGACCTGTCACCACTATGTTTTCTCCCTAGTTTGCTCATTTGCACAATTCATCGTCTCCTGGACTGGAAACCCCATGAGGGCAAGGATTGGGTCAGGATCCCCCACAGTAGCTCTGGGACCAGGTACAGAGGCTAACACACAGTGGGCACTCAGTGGACTTTTGTTAAATGATTATACAGATGGGAGAGGTTCTGAACGGCAGAGGTCCTCCAACATGTGCTTAAAATTCCTCTGTCTCTGAAGTCTCAGATTCTATCTGCAGGCCCAGTAGGCCCACTTCTTTTTACCAGAGGGTGTCAGACCACATCTGCAGGCTACCTTCAATAGCTGCTACCTGATGACTTTGGGTAAGTGACTTCACTTCTGTGAGCCTCATCTGTAAAAGGGGGCTATTGGCTCCCATCACACAGGATTGCTGTGAAGATTAATTGCAGTTCCTAGCATGGTGCTCAGCACATATTGGCTGGGCTTTAAAAAAAAAAAAAGGGTCAGTCACACCCAAAGCACAAGAAAAAAAAGAACAAATAAATAAATATCATCAAAATCAAGAGCCTTTTGCATCAAATGACACAGTCAAGAAGTGAAAAGACAACCCACAGCATGGGAGAAGATATTTGCAAATCATATGCCTGATAAGCGACTAGGATCCAGAATATACGATCCAACAGAGCAACAACAGCAAAAAACCAATTTAAAAAATCGGCAAAGGACTTAAACAGACATCTCTCTAAAGAAGGTATACAAATGGCCAACAAGCACATGAAAAGATGCCTGACATCATTAGTCATCAGGGAAACAAAAATCGAAGCCACAATGAGATTGTTCATACCCACTTGGATGGCTATGATAAAAACAACACCACCATGGAACATAAGTGTTGGCAAGGATATGGAGAAATCGATACTCTTGTACACTGCTGGTACGAAAGCAAAATGGAGCAGCTGCTGTGGACAATAGTCTAATGTTTCCTCAAAAAGTTAAACTAGAGTTACCAGATGACCCAGCAATTCCACTCCTGGGCATATATCTAAGAGAAATGAAAACCTGCATCCACACACAAACATGCATACAAATATTCATAATATTGTTCATAATAGCTAAAAAATGGAAACAACTCAAATGTCTGCCAATGAATGGATGGAGAAACAAAATGTGGTGCACCCATACCATGGAGTATGATTCAGCCATAACAAGGAAGGAAGTATGGATCCAGGATGTTCTGTGAATGGAACTCAAAGACATGACGCTAAGTGAAAGAAACCAGACACAGAAGTTACATATTGTGGTGTGAGACTCCATTTACGTGAAATATCCCCAAGAGGCAAATCCATAGAGACAGAAAGCAGACTGGTGGTGATGAGGGTTGAGAGGACAGGGAAGGGGGGCAACTGCTCCTGGCACACGGCTTCTGTTGGGGATGAGAAGATGTTCTGAAATCAGACAGTGCTGAGAGTTGCACGATATTGTAAATGCACTCAATGTCTCTAGTGGTAAGTTTCACATTATGAGTATTTTGCTGCGATAACAAACATTTCAGAGGCAGTAGACATGCACACATGGGACAGTCTCTTCCCTGGGCTAAGAGCTGTTCCCTGAGGTCACTCCTGATGTCCCTGGGTGGGACTCTTCCCCTTGGCTGGACCTTCAGGTTTGCTGCAGTGGAGGAGGCTGCTGCATACCTGAGCAGATGGGTTCCTGGCTGCTCCAGTGGGGCTTGGAGGCATTGATGCATGTCAGTGTCTTGGCACCCTGAAGCTCGTAGCCCAGGTGGCAGTGGAAGAGGGCCACCCCACCTGAGTGCAGGTCCATCACTGTGACGTCCCCAGAGTCGGGCCGGCGGGGAAAATTGCAGCTCAGCATGAAGGCTGGGAAGAAAGGCAAAGGCAGATCCTGTCAGTCCTTGGACGGGGAGATCAAGAACCTGACCCACATCCTGGGAGCCAATTTGTGCTGAGGAGAGAGGATGAGGTCCCTGGGGACGCCAGGGCGTGGGAGGATGGTATTTTTGTGACTCTTTTTGATCATATGCTGCTGAAGTTGCGGGTTAGCACTTTCTCGTGGCTCAAAACTCCCCACCCTGCCTAACCAGGGACAGCAGGCTTGGGGTGAAAAATGAGTTTCCACACCTCATTTGCACCTCTCTCCATGTGGATATAAAGCGGTCTTCTCTATGGGAATAGGATTGTGGCATTGCCCAGGCAGGTTCAACCCACCTGGTATAAGCATCTTGGTTGTTTGCTAAAAAGGCAGGTGCTTGGACCAGCTCTTTGGGAAATATCTAAGGATATAAAGCTTGGAAGCAGATGACCTGGGAGGCCAGGGCTCTGGAGAGAGACCAGGGTGAGTTTACATTCTTACTCTATCACTCAGAAATGACGTGACCTTGAGACAGGACTCAGTGCCCTGAACTTCAACTTCTTCAGGTTTCCGGTTGAGCTAATACTTGTCCCCACCTCACAGGTGGCAGTGGGAATTAAATGAGATAAAGACAAGAAATGCCCACTTTAGCAAAAGATTAGGCAATAGTCAGCATTCAGTAGATGGGGGAGTGAAAGTGAACAGGTCCATGTTAAGCTCTTTGTTTTCATAAGAGAACATCAAATTCATCCTAACTCCACCCTAGACCACAGCCTGACCTCTCTCCTGCAGTCCACAATATCTGTGTCCTCAGTACTGATAAGGAGGAATAAATTCAAGTTCATGGTCCCACAAGTTATTATTATTTTTTTCATTTTCTAATTCACAACGACAGCAAAGGGCTGCCTCAATATTGAAAAGCTGAGGAAGTGGACACCCTCCTGTACTGTCATGGACCTGTTGTGAAAATTTGAAAATGAATCGTTTTTTTCAGATGTCTGGTCAACGTGGCAGAAATGCGGTGGTTCCCAATATGGGGATGTGGGGCTCACTTTTGGTTCAGAGACTTTGGCCACTGCTAAGGGAAGGGGGAATTGAGATCGTGGGAACTGCCTGGGAGGACATGGGATGGGAAGAGACAGGAAAGAGGAAGGAAGGAACAGAGAAAATTAATGGAGGATGGAAGGAAGAAGTAACAGAAGCAAGAAAAGAGGGAGTGAAGGAGAAGGAGGGAGAAAGAAAGAGACAAAAGAGAGGAAGAACCAGAAAGCCAAAGAGAAGAGGCTCAGAAACAGACAAAAAGCAAAGAGAGAAAAATTGTAGAGGAACTAAAAAAGAGAGAAAGGCCCGGCTGGTCAGGCTCTTGAGCAGGAGGAGTCTGTAGACTCACAGGGGAGCCATGTACTGTATTCAAGACCATGAACTTGAGTGGGGAGAAGGGGCATGCTTGTTTTTAACCTCTAACTGAATCGTGGTATTCTTTCCATGTTCCTCTGCAACATGGCAGAGGAAGCTATATGATTGCCACTAAGAGAAATCACAGATACTTTCTGCATCATAAATAATATCTTGACATATTTCTTGTTTCTCAGTCCTTTGAAATTACAGCAATTATCAGAACTGCTAAGAGATACATTTATAAGTTTGTGAATTAATAAAGAAGCACATAGATAACTATATCATAGATTAGAACAATATTTTGACAAGTGTAGCTCAATATGATTGGCTTTTAAAAATTGTATATCTTTTATGCTTTTAAAAACATCGTTCTCACAAAGGGCTCAAAACATCTGAGAATTGTTGGCTCCACCATGAAACTGGGGCCGGTGTCAACATCTCATCAGCTTGGCCCGGACCTACCTTGGTAGTGCAGCTGGAAGGTTCCCAGGCCGTCATCCTGGAAGGTCCGGAAGTAGACGGAGATGGTGTTGGTGGGGCTCCGGATCACCTGCCCCTCCACCAGGAGCGTCTGGTTGGCCAGGACGGTCAGGGTGGGGCCATCCACACCGCGGATGGAGAGCAATTCCCCCTCGGACAAGTTCACGCTCTTCACCTGGGGATAAGGAGGCAGAGGGAGAGAAACTCATTTGAGCCAGGCCATGAGGATGCCAACACAGCACCCCCGCAGGCGCCTGGTCAGCGGAACCCAGGGGCCCCACACCCAGCCCTCAGGAGCTCTGGGAACACCAGGGTCCCTTTCATCTCCCCAAAGCCAAGGGGACAGAGTGAAACCAAGCTGCAGAACAGAGGCACTGCAAGGGACCTGAGGTCTTTGGGGCTGCATGGCTGCATCCCATGGGCAAGACCCTTGGCAGAGGCTCTGGATGCTGGTGGCGGGGATTCTTCTGGAATGGTGGGTGAGTGCAGTCGGCACGTGCTTGAGGGCTGATGACAGGGACATAGGAGAAGGCGTTCCACCAGAAGGTGAGCTCTGCCAGGGTCAAGAGCTCTTTGTGCTGTTCTGGTCGTCAGTGCCTAGAATAGCGCCTGGCACGTAGTAAGTGCTCAGTGAATATTTATAAGTGGCTGGGTACATCCTTCCCTCTTCTGCATAAGAGGTGGGTGAGGGCTGGGGGCCTCGTGTCTAGGGCACTGTCAGGCCCACTCTCTCATCCTCCCCACTGCAGAACCGTCAATCCCCTTCCCAAAGAGCCGGGTGCTTGCTTTGCCATTTCCACTCTCTAGGCTGAGAGGAGAAAGAAGGGAGAAACCTTAGTCTTACACAGGCAGGTGAAAAAATTGTGTGTGTGTGTGTTCGTGTGTATGGGTGGGCTTTAGTCAGTTTCCAGTACCCCGATTTGAAGATTTATGTCTTTATAAACAAGGCTTAGGATTCTCACCCCTCTGCTCCTCATCTGAACAAAGCAGGTCTCACCCACAAGCCCTTCCTCCTTCAGGCCACATCTTACTTTGTATTCCTGTTGATGAACTCCTACTCATTCACCAAAGCCCTGCTAAAATTGTCCTCATCTGTGAGATCTTCCTTGACTGCCAAGGAGCTGGTTCATCCCTCCACTGTGATTTCACATGTCCCTATAAACACCCACTAGAGTCCTTCTTGAATGGCATCCTCTATGTTTTGGACTCCAGGTGTGAACTCTTTTAGGGCAGGCGTTGTATCAGCTTTGCTACCACCATAGTCCCCTGTGTTGACACATTTGCCTGGTACATAGTAAGTGCTCAGTGAATGAATTATCCTATGCCTGATAGAGAGCTCCACACAGGATTAGACACATAGGGGGTCTCTCTCTCTCTCTCTCTCTCTCCCCCGCCCCCTTCTCCTTCTGCTGGGTTCTGGTCAAATGGTCTCTGCTCTCTGTGCATTGTCATGTCCACTGCTTCCCAAAACTCCGCAAAGTAGTAACATTATTTCTATTTCACTGATGTGCCCCATCAGTTTACTGAGGCTCAAAGAGGTGAAGTTCCTTGTTCAGATTCACACAGCTAGCCGGGCTCGGTGGCTCAGTCTGTAATCCTGCACTTTGGGAGGCCGAGGTGAGTGGATTGCCTGAGCCCGTGGGTTCGAGACCCGCCTGGGCAATTTGGCGGGACCTCATCTCTACAATAAATCAAAAAATTAGCCGGGCATGGTAGCACGTGTCTGTATTTTCAGCTACTGGGAAGGCTGAGGCGGAAGGATCACCAGAGCCCAGCGGGTCGAGGCTGCGGTGGCTGGGAGCGGCCACTGCACTCCAGTCTGTGCGACTGAGTGAGACTCCAACTCAAAAAAAGAAAAAAATTCACACAGCTTTAACCAGAAAAAATAGGACTTAAAATATGAACCTTATGCCACCCTGCTTTTCCTTCTTTAGTTCAGTTTATGGGCAAAAGTTTATGTGTGTGTGTGTGTGTGTGTGTGTGTGTGTGTGTGTGTGTGTGTGTGATAAGCAGGGTATCAGGGGACCTTCCTTCTGGGTATAATGCCTCACAACTTACCAACACGTTCCCTCCATGTGTTCTAAGCTATTTCAGTGGAGCACTGAGTTGGGAACTCCTACTCCTTGGGCAAAACCCAGCTAAAATTGCCCTGGTTAGAGCAAAGAGAGAGCCAAGTGGATTAGCATGAAGACAGTAAGCCTGACTCAGACAGTCCTTGAGAGACATCCTGCTGGATGAGGCAGCCGCTGCAGGGCACCTTTCTGGGTTACCTGGAGCTCCACGCCATAGCCCGTGTAGACGGTCACGTTGTACGTGCACTCCAGGAAACTGCTGAAGGGCAGTGGCGGGTAGTCGCCGGAGTCAATGTAGCCCTGGGGTCGGAGAAGCTCACACTGCAGAGAGCTGTGGGGGGGAAGCACTTGCATTAGGACACCAGGGACAGCTCAGAGGGAAGCTGGGCGGTGGGCTGTGGGGTGAAGCAGGGCCTTTGGAGGGCCTGCAGGTCCCACCCCCACCCCTCCTGCTACTGTTCATTCTTCGGCTCTGGAATCCACGCCCTGCCAGTGGCAATAGTTGACGCGGAATGATCGTTCCCTACATCCTGCCAGGCGCCCTTCTAGCCATGCTGTGGGCGCAATTCCATTCATCCTTATAGAGATGATCACGCATCCCCATTTCAGAGGTAAGTAAGCAAAAGCTCAGAGAGGGCCGTGTCTGGGCTGAGCTCACACAGCGAGTGGGACTCAGACCCAGAGCCCACATTCTTTCATGGGTGGCCATTTTGCTTTAGTTCCAAATCCATGTGTGCTTGACAGTTGGGGGTCCCTCCCCCATGTCAGAAGATGGGAGAGAAGATAGAAGAAGAAAGACGAGAACCCAGAAGTGCATTCTATCAAGTGCAGAGAATACAGGTAACAGTAAAAGTAAATACACTTTGAAAAGTGCCTTTGGAGCAGGTTCATGAATTCTGTTCCAAGATGAAAAAGTTTTGAAACCTGCTTATTAACTATGTGGGCTTGGGCAGGTTGCCTGAGGTCTCAGGGTCTCTCAGTTGTCTCATCTTTGATATAAGACAGATGTGGTGATTCACACCTGTAATCCCAAAGTGCTTTGAGAGGCTGAGGGGGGAGGAACACTCGAGGCCAGGAATTTGAGACTAGCCTGGGCAACATAGTGAGACCTCATCTCTTAAAAAAAAAAAAAAATATATATATATATATATATACACACACATAATAAATAAATATATATATTTATTAGCTGGGCATGGTGGCACACACCTATAGTCCCAGCTACTCGAGAGGCTGAGGCAGGAGGATTGCTTGAGCCCGGGAGTTCCAGGTGAGCTATGATCTCGCCACTGCACTCCAGCCTGGGCAGTAGGGGGAGACTCTTATCTCTTAAATAAAATAATATGATACAATAAAATGCGGCTGTAAATTCTGAGCCACGGGGCCAAGCTCATTGTCAGTGCTCAGCAGGTAGGAACTCGCAGCACAGCTTGGCCTTCTCAGGACCCCTCTGCTCCCAGCCCTGCACCCAGGGGGTGCATCTCAGCTGCTGCAGGAGGGCCACAGGGGCAGGGGTCTCATACCTGGAGCCTGCTCAGTGGTGATGACCGTGGTGGTGACGATAGTGGATGTGGTGGTCTCCTGGCTCTCCTCTGAGGCTGACCCGGTCAGCTCGCTCTCGCCTTTGTCCGTCAGGGCCATGGGGCCGACATCCTCTGCAGGGGCCTCGTGGGCCTTGCCAGGCTCTGCAGACTCCCCGGGGTCCGGCCTCTGGGGGAGCGTGTGGGCCACATAGGGCTGCGCGGTGAAGGGTGAGATCTGCAGGGGTGCAGGCGTCGTGGGGACCGCACCCTCCTTCCGGTCTAGCCAGAGGGGCCCCATGGACGCCTCCTCAGAGGCCACCGCGGGGTCCGGGTCCCCCGGGGGCTGGGGCTTCTCAGTGGAAGAGGTGAGGAGACCCGGGCCAGAGGATGCCAGCGGGGCGCCCGGCCCCTGGACGCCAGCTGCAGAGGGGGCCTTCGGCCTCAGCTGCTTCCTGGCCGAGTTCCCCTGCCGCAGGGAGGGCAGCTTCCTCCTGGGGGACAGGGCATGTGTGATGTAGGCCTCCTCTGGGAGCAGCGGTGACAGGGCTGGGGCGTCACCATGCGCGGAGGGCACTGTCCCTTCTGGCTCCAGCTCGCCAAGCTCCTGCCCCGACGGCGTGGGATTCGGGGGGGCCGTGGCCACTCTCTCCTCGGGGCCCTCTTTGCTCAGACTGCGGCTGTCCAGCGCTCCTGGGGGCAGGAGGTAGGGACTGGAAGGGTCGGCGTCTCCCTCTGGGTGGGCATCTGGGGGAGGAGGAGGACACCAGTTAACTTGGGGGCTTAGGACTGCCACCTTCCGCTAGACTCTGAGGGTGGCCCTCTTGAGGTTGGCCCCAGGCTTGCAGGGGTGGCCCCTCAGTCCTTCCCCTCCCTTTCTAGCCTCTTCCCCATCCCCTCCCCCTTTCCTTCCTTCCTTCCTTCTTCTGTTTCCTCCTTCCCCCTCTCTTTCCCTCCTTCCCAAACTCCTTTCCTTCCTAGACTCCCTGCCTTCCTTCCCTTTCCTGAAGCTTGGGGTTGATCACGCCAGGACTGAGCTAACCACACCAGGATTACAGAAACCAGGGGTGTAGAGTCTCCAGTTGTATATACTGGGGGAGGGGAGTGCAGGAAAGTAAAAGCAATCACATATGATAAACGTCCTGAAAGAGTAAAGCTTCTGCGCTAACAGTAACAGGGCAGAAAGGATGGGCCCCGACTAAGTCTGCAGGACAGGACTGCCATGTACAGTTGGGCAGGTTGTTCATCGCACAGAGACATCCAGTGAAGGGGATGAGTAGGGATGGAAACCAGGTGACACTCTTCTCCAAGCTGTGTGCTCTGGCTGAGGGTCATGCTGTTCTGGGCTTGGAGGGAGTGGGCGCTTTTTAAACAAAATAACATGAGTGGACTTGAGGGAGAATACAGAAAGTTCTGAGGACTCAGAGTCATGAGGCAGATTCAGGACAGAGTTGTGTGGAGATCTGTGGCGATGTGGAAACAGGGCTGAGGTGGGTTTGAAAGAGGAATGGCAAGGAAGTGGGGAGCACAGGTAGTGGGTAGTTAAAGGTACAGCTGGTAAGGTAGGGAGGTAAGGCCAGGCCCTGGAAGGCCTTGGATACCCTGCTAACTCCTGTGTTTTATTTTTGCTTTGAATGTAAAACCATGCTGCGCATGGTGGCTCACACCTGTAATTCCAGCACTTTGGTGGTGGGGGTGAAAGGATTACCTGAGACCAGGAGTCTGAGACCAGCCTGGGCAACATAGCAAGACTCTGTACCTATAAAAAATTGAAAGAAAAAAATAGCCAGTTGTGGCATGCATGTCTGTAGTCCCAGCTACTTGGGAGACTGACGTAGGAGAGTTACCTGAGCCCGTGTTCAAGGCTGCAGTGAGTTGTGAAAGAAGGAAAGTAAAGCCTTCTAGTAATTTCAAAAAAGGGCTGGCCCAGGCAACTGTCTGGAGGAATGGTGTTAGAAACTGGCTTCATTTACTTTTTAAAGACCCAGTTCTCCGAGCCTCAGTTTTCCCAGCTGTCAAATGGGGCTGCTATTCCCTATTTCTTAGGCTAATCGTCATTCAGTAAGTTGAAGTATGCAAAGCACTTAGGACAGTGCTTTACCCATGGTGGGCTCTTCGTAGGGGCCAGCTGCCCTTGTCATCATTCCTATTGTCATTGCAATCACAGCCCCTCCGTGGGAAGCTGGAGTCATCAGAAATCCCTCTAGATAGAGAGGAATTACATCATGGGAACAGAGGCCCTTGGACTGATAGCTGTCCTTGTCAATTTTCTGCAGAGAAACACTCGCTCAGCCACAGTCTCCAGGCTCCTCTGGCCTGTCACTTAAATTTATTCCAGCAGCCCTTGGAAAGGCTCATTTACTTTCATGGAGTTGGCGGCAGTGGCTTAATCTATATAGACTGCAACAGTTTGTAACTGGCACCGACAAATGTCCCTGTTGTGTAACATTGATTACTAGCCAGTGTTGCTTTCAGGCCGTTGGTGATGCTGGGGCAGGCGGGTATTGGGAAGGAGGGGTGTGTGTGGATGACACAAGGGCAGGTCAAGGTCATTCAACGACCAGGGAGCTTTTCTAGTCCACGGTGGAAAGCGCTAGGGCCGTGGAGTTAGATGTGCCTTCGAATCCTGCCTGTCACAGTGAGAAGCAGAGGGAGCTTGGGCAAGCCCATGATCTCTTCTGAGGCTCAGTAGCCTCTTCTGTATAACAGAGAATAGATTTTATCTACCTCGTAGGGTTAGATCAGATGTGGATCTGCCCCAAAGTGGTGACTTTTATGTCCACCATCACTTTTATAAAATGATGGACAGTGATCCTTTTATAGCTCATCAGCGTGATGTGTTCATGCACATGTGTGAGATGTGCCACCCTCAAACCTTATTACAACATCAGCACCTTATCTGTCAGACACTGACAACAAATAAAATGATTGATGTTAACCATCTTTGTTGACTGTGGAGTAAGAAAAGGGAGTAGGGACACACAGAGCAGAGGGTGAAGGGTCAGAACCCCCAGCTCCCAAGGCCCAGCTGTGGTTCATTGCGAAGAGCTTGAATGCAACATGGGTCAGGGGGTCCAGGTAGCTGTCCCATCTTGGCCACCACTCGCTAGCATGATGTTGTGTGGATCTCATCTTTCCTTCACCTCTCTGGATATGTCAAACAGGCAGCCAGTCTAGGTATGCTGTAAAGGTCCTTCTGGCTGTGCCATTGTTGGTTTTTGAAACAGTCAGGTAATTGACAATTATTCCTAGAGCCATTTGTTAACCTTGCTAAATTGGGCAACATGACTGCTAAACCTCGACATTGGCTGATGAGTTTTGTTGGGTCCTGTGGTCAGACAGTCCCTTCACAAACACGGCTCCTTGATCACAAAGGGGGATAAGAGACAGAAGGAAGAGGAGAGGGAGGAAGAGAGGGAGGAGAGAGGGAGAGGGAGACAGAGAGAGGGAGGGAGAGAAGGAGGGAGAGAGCATATGATTAGATTAGGAAAACAGGTTTTGTCTTCAGTACCAAGGAAGTGACAAAAAGCACATCAATGCACCCTGACCATAATAATAGTGAACAGTAATGATATTTATAGTATCTTGATTTTTTTTTTAGTTGGAGTCTCACTCCGTCGCTCAGGCTGGAGTGCAGTGGTACACTCACGGCCACCTCAGTATCGACCTGCTGGGTTCTGGTGATCCTTCGGCCTCAGCCTTCCAAGTAGCCAGAATTGCAGGCCCATGCTACCATGCCTGGTTAATTTTTGATTTATTGTAGAGACAAGGTCTTGCCAAGTTGCCCAGACTGGTCTCAAAGCGTGGGCTCAGGCAATCCACTTGTCTTGGCCTCCCAAAGTGCTGGGATTACAGGCTAAACCAAGGAGCCCGGTCACATCTTATTTTTGATTGCTTTGTTGAGTGCTGAATAGGCACCTTGCTTGCGTGCATTACCTCATTTCATTCTTTCTTAGCCTTATTATGTAGAAATTGTTGTTCCTATTTTACAGGTGAGCAAAGTGAGGCTTTAGGATACTAAGTAACTTTCCAAAGTCACACAGCAAAGCTGGGTTTCAAGACTAAGTTTTCCTGTCCTCAAAGACTGTGCTATTGGCTCTCTTAGGATCAAGAGGGTGTGGTTATCACCTGGCATCTTCTTCCTCAGCTTGGCTCTGTCTCTTTTCCTTCCCTCCTCATTTTGCTTGTGTTTCTGCTGGGTGGGCTAGAGGGTTTTTCTAGCCTCTCAAATGATAACCTTTCCCACCCCTCACCCCTGAATTCAGACTCAGCACTTCGAATCTCCAGGGATGGGTCTTAGAAAGTAGAAAGCCCCTCTGGGGACTTATTATCAGGGTTATAAGGAAAGTTTTGGAATGTGTGACCTTGCCTGACTTCGTACATGTTCTCTGATCATTTTGCCTTCCAAGTGCCTGAAGTTACAGGTGGCAACAGGGTATGGGTTCGTGTAGCAGGTGGCGACTCTTGGACTCTTTCCAAGGCCTGTGACCTCCCCCAGTGATTTTAGAATACAACCAACAGAAGCAGAAGGAAATGCAAGAAAACATTCCCTCATCAGCTTCCTCTCCATAGCTGCTGCTCTCACCCTCTGGGGCCCCTGAGTGGAAGGGTGCTAACCACAGCAGCTTTCAAGGGCTTTGGAAATTAAGGGCTCTGAGTCAGCCCTTTCCTGCTGAAAACCTGATGGTCAAGAGAGTTTTGTATCCAGCAGATAAATTCACCTCCTTGCCTCCACTGTCCCCCTCTCGCCAGATCATACACAATCTGATATCTTGGTGGCTGGCTCCAAATTTAAGGCCAAGTTCAACACAGATGAGCCTCTGCAGTCTGCAACATACACAGCCCGCAGGCCTCGCTCTCAGCCAGAATGTTGGCCAAGACCCACTGGAAATGCATCAATATGGGATTCCAGGGTCTCAGAGATCCAGTAACTTCATTTTCTACTCTGCTAGGCTAGTTTTTCCTGCCCCCTGCCCCACAATGATCCCTGAGCTACATTAACTCCTTTATCTCAGAGCACTTAAATGTTTCAATCATGCTGGTCACATGTGGGTGATTCTTCCTTTATAATGTATATTCCGTGCCCTACTCAAATGCAGTCAATCAACCAGTTGATCAATGAAAGTGTTGGGTGCTGACTTTCTCCTCTGGTTGACACTCAGCACAAGGGAGTCAGCACTGTCCACTTTGGCCCTTGTCCTCCAGGAGTCAGGAAAACAGACACACACTGACAACCAAATACAGAATAACCAAATACAGAGATCGAACAGCACAGATTACATGCATTCTGATGTCGCTCCTCCCTCTAGGGATGGAGCAAGCCATGTAGAAGGTAACTGAACATTTGCTCTGCCATCCAAGTTGGGGAGACAGTGTATTTCTCTTTCCCTCCTTTTTTCTTTTAGATTCAGGGGGTACACATGCATGTTTGTTACATGGGCACAGTATGTATGGTTGGGATTGGGTCTCAGGTGGCCCATTCCCCAGAAAATGAATGTTGTGCCCTGTAGGTAGTTTCTGAACCCCGACCCCCTCACCCTTATTGGTGTCCCCAGTGTCTATTATTTCCATTCCACTACTGGGGATCTCCCCAAAGGAGAAGAAATCGCTCCCTTTTTTATAACTTTGAGGGGAGGTGGGATATTTGACTGGAAAGCATCTCATTAAAGTGGAAAACGTGCAAGTTCTGAAGCTGAGGCTTTGATTCTTAAATGCCTGGACCCAACAGAATGGCCGAGAAAGGCACAGAATTCCACACAGTAGCATGCCATCATGCAGTGCACAGTGATCTGAGGGAAGAAACAAGAGCCAGGGAGTGTGTCTGCCTGATGTTCAGTGAAAGGAATGAGATATAAAACTCTACAGTGGGTGTGGAGATGACTAGAAACAACCCAGTCGAACAAATTGCAATGCAGAGTCATGTTTTGACTTGAAGAATGGCACAAAGATGGCCCGGTGGCCTCTGGGTAATGGGAATGCTGTTGTTGATGTTTTCTTCCTTCTACTTTCTGGCATTTTTCAAAGTATGTATAACAGGCATTTAATACTTTCTTAAAAGAAAAAAAATACAAAAAGAGCCACATGCAAATGCTGGTTTAGCATTTAAATGCTGGTTGAGAGGTCGAGGAAGGCAGAGGCAAATTGGTAATCACAGGAGCACTTCCCGGACTAACTGAGTCATGGAGCCTCTTTGGAATGCAGTTTCCAGGTAGGGATGATGATAAGTCTTCCCTCATAGAACCGGTTACAGTGACTGCCTTCAGGAGGCAGGGCTGGCAGGTGAATCAGTGGATGCATTTTTGGTAAAAACAACAAAAATGTTAGTCATTATTCTTTTTTTTTTTAAGTTGGAGTGTCACTCTGTCACCCAGACTGGAGTGCAGTGGCCACTCCCGGCCACCGCAGCCTTGACCTGCTGGGCTCCAGCCATCCTTCTGCCTCAGCCTTCCAAGTAGCCGGAATTACAGGCAGGCACTACCACGCCCAGCTGATTTATTTATTTATTTATTGTAGAGCTTAGGTCTCGCTGCCCAGGCGGGTCTCGAACCCGCGGGCTCGGGCAATCCACTCACCTCAGCCTCCCAAAGGTGTGGGATTACAGGCTGAGCCATCGAGCCCGGCTTAGTCACTATTCTAATCATCATTGTTAACACAACCAGTGGTTATTTATCGTAATTTCAGATGCCACAATAAGTCATGCCTTGGTTGGTTGGTTGGTTTGGCCCCAAAAGGGACAAACCCAAAAAGTAAATGTCATGTACTAAAGACAAAAGCGCTTCTTAGAGATCATGGTTACAAACTGCCCAGAGAATCAGCCGGGCGTGGTAGCGTATGCCTATTATTCCGGCTACTTGGAAGGCTGAGGCGGAAGGATCGCCAGAGCCAGCAGGTCGAGGCTGCAGTGGCCAGGAGCGGCCACTGCACTCCAGTCTGGGCGACAGAGTGAGACTCCAACTCAAAAAAAAAAACCCGAAAAACTGCCCAGAGAAGGAGTATGAAGTCCAGAGAGGGGAAGCAGCTGCCCAGGGTCCCCAGCACGTCGGTAGCACTAATAAAACAAGGCTATTTGAAGCTTGAGAAACCACAAGAGAGCACATCAAACAAAATGGAAAACCAAACCAGGAACATCTGGACTGCTTCA